TGATGATGATGATGATGATGATGATGATGATGATGATGATGATGATGTACAACAAACACGTGGCTAGGACATTCAGGCTGACAAAACTCTTTTCTTCTGCTATCTGGGGCGTCAGTTTCAGGGAACCCTCACTTACTCAAAGGGCTACTCTTCGGTTGTGTCAAAGACAGCCTCACAGTGTTCATGTTGTCCAGGTCGGGGTCAAAGAGCTCCTGAGATTCTTAAGGAGACCAGCCCAAGTCATTCGAATACCCACTGGCGGCCATCAACACTACAATTGATAGATAGATTATGTGTGTGTACTTGGACCTTCCAACAGGTCCCTGGTGACAACAGTTGCCCAAAAGCACTGTTAGGCTTCCAAAACCACTTGTTGGAAGGACTTGGCATATGCTTTCTTAAAAGAAAGGTTTCCAACTGACAAAAACTAAGTCTAACAAAGCTGAACAAATGCCATGCTGGAGCATTGCTGTTCAAAGGAGGCTGAGTGAGGAAAACAATGGAAAACAAGCCTTGGACAATAAAGCCATGGCTCTGGGTTGCGCTTCGCCAAAGGAAGGAGAGCCTCTTTGGTGAGCAAGGCGGTTTGGCAATCGAACTTCTCCCACACATGGTTCAACGTGAAGTTGGTGTAGCGAGACCTCAGCTAGCCATGTATGCTTTCATGGTCACCCCACTGGACTCCAACGAAAACCTAAACCCCTGCTTCCAAGCCAGGGCAGCTGGCATAACCCAAACCCAAGCCACAAACACCTCTTTAGACTCTGGTCCTTGAAACCTGCAGCTTCACCATGGTCAACTCTCCGGCTTAACGGGCCAAGGGACAATGGCTCCACCTCCTTGATTGGCATCTTGAGCTTGGCAAATGCCCGGTGCCACCGGAAGACGTGAGCGATCTCCTTGGCAGCCGACATGCCCAATTGCCTCGCGTTCAGTCCGCGTAGTATTCACTTTGAGCCAGAATCCCGGTCTGCGGGCAAGAAGAATGATGGTTTGAAAGCAAATGGACCAAACTCTACTTCAAGGAAAGCATTGGTGTGCTCGCTGAAACTGTGAACAAAGCGAACACGAGCCCAACACCAATTATACTACAAAGAATGTGTGAAGGACATGACTGACAAGCAAACCTCCTTACCCGGCACTTGGATGGACAGCATGACCTCGAGGCACGGCTAATCCCTGGTCGGAGTAGAACCTTGATATCCGCAGAGTCGCATCCCACAGATTTCCAGTGATTGTAGCACCACTTTAGGCCATTACCTTCGTCACTTCCCCCTCGGAAGCTTGAACCCCAGGTCAAGACCTGCTGCCGACACGCTTTTGGCCGAGCGTGTAGCGTGCCGCGAGCGGTACGGGGGCCACGCCGCGCCTACGTCGTAAGATCTCTCGGCCCAGCGATTTGAGACCCTCCTCGTCGTTCCAAAGCTCCAAGTGTGCCAAATCCTTCCATCGGACGCGCGAGCTCCGCCATGCGCGTGTGCGTGCGACTGGGGTGACACAGGGCTGAAGCGACCAATCCTTCAATGTTGTAATGTCCAATGAATAGATAAGTGAAATATGGTGAAAATATGCAAAAGTTGATGGGTTCTGAGTCTATCATTAGAGTTCAAGATCATTTCTGGACCGCCCTCATTCAAACCAACCCATGATGTGATATCCTGCTAGACCTCCTGAATCCCAAGATCATTCATCCTATGGCGGACTTTGCCTGTGCTGCCATAGTGGTCCGCACAAGTTTCTCCACCTCCTGCTTCAGTCCTTGAATTTTGGGGGTATGAAGCAGCCAACCCTTGTACAGTAGATCGTTCTTCCAGACCCGTGTTCATACAAGTTCGTCCACCCATCTGTGGCTCCTCTGCCAAGCGCACCAGCTCCACTGCAGGCACCTCGCTGCTGGGAAAGAGCGAGGCGGATCCTTCAGCGTCGCTGCTGCGCAAGCGAGGCAAAAGCTTCTGGAGCAACGGCACCTGGGGCGATCGGCCCCGGTCCATGCCGCCCCGGTCAAACCGAACGCGCCGGATGGTCCATGCGATCGGCAGGTCAAACCGGATGGTTGAAAACACGGCGCGGTTTAATGATGTGATTGATGACTCTCTTGATGAATTGGAGGCTTGATGGCTTGTGTGAGTGCATGTGGTTTTGATCATTGGACACCCTACAGTGATCGGCGCACCGGGGCCCAGATTTTTAGGAAACACATGAGGGACGGTCAAAACTCCTAATTTTCTTCAACAAAAAATGGATGTTATCGGTTTTGAGGTGGACCTTATCGTTTTGCAGTGTTTTGAGTTCGTCTCATACTTATTTATGATCATATACAGCGCTGGGGTTATCGGTTTTAAGGTGGACCTTATCGTTTTGCAGGGTTTTGCGCACAAACTTACCCCTCTTTACTAAAGAGGTCTTCGCATGTTTTGACCGTATAGCTCATATGGAAAAAATGAAGATCCTGAAGGCCTAAGATCCATGCAGTTTGCAGCTGTTCCTGTCTCCGGTCAACAAAAGCTGGATTGGCAAAACAGCATGAAAAAAAACAAGGGCTTAGGGATGCTTAGATGTTCTATTCCTTTTATATAGAGGCCTCCTCAAGACTCTCAGAGGTACGGAAGTTCCCGCAATAATGGGTATCGAACATAGCCAACAAGTTTCTTCAGCATTTGGTGTCAAAAAAGATGTTGGGAGAACCCCAAAACCAGCATCAGTGTATCAAAGGCTCTCTTCTCTGTCTTTCCCTCTCTAAACTATTGAACAGATGTTAGGAGAACCTCCAAACCAGCATCAGTGTATCAACGGTTCTTTGCTTCTCACTGTCATCCTCCTTGGAGTTCATGCGAGGGGCCTAAACCTCCTACAGGAAGATGGATTCGTTACTGCAAAGCCCTTCGAGAATCTCAACGAACAAATGGATGACATGGACCCTGTTGAGTTTACGGTCCAAGAGTTTCTTATGACCCTGGAGTGTCCACATTGATGACTCAGGCCCGGGGTTGCGGAAGTTCATCTGTAATTGGAGGGATTGAGTCTTCAACTCTCAAAGACCATGCGCCGGATCCATTTGGCTCCTCAAAGGTCCAAATCTGAAATGAACTACCTGCTATCCTGCCCCAAACCATCCGTAATTATATGGCCAATTTATCGCAGTGGCTTCAAAGGTCAATGTATAATGTGTATATATATATATACATATGTATACACCACACACACATATATATATAATATATTTATATAGACACCATACATGGATGGTCTGGGTGGCTGATTCTCAGGATAGCACCTCACGACACTTTGACCTGATTTTCCCTGATGATCCTGATGTATATACGATTCTTACGGGTGCTCCATGCCCCAAATGGTCTGCTTTCACACCAGGCCGCGTCCTTCCCCGGGCAGCTGCGCAACGGACGATGGACCATGTGGCCCACCGAGGCCTGAGCCACCTGCTTTTTTCGGTCGGAGATGGAACCACCATACGTTTGATCTGTATGTGTGCATGTGACATGTGCCTCTGTGAAAGTGCATATACATGTACAGTGTATATATATATATATTTATCTTTAAACTATTTACATCATAGGTGTTCTTTTCTGTCACATGTACTTGCATGCCGGTCAAACGAGTTACGGAAACAAATGAACAAGAACAACCAGCGCCAATCGCGTGAGTTGTTGGGGGTTCCCACAGAACCGGCCGAACTTCCTTCGATCCGGCGGATCCGGAGGGCCATCGTGCTGTTGCGCCTGCCAGGTCTACACTCCAAGTGACGAACGAAGTGGAAATTCCCCCTTCAGTTCGGAACATCGTCTGCCCAGAGGGGCATGCCATCCACTTCCACCACGTGATGTGTTCGTCATGTCGTGTATCTTCAGGGTCAAGGGGGAACCTTCGGGTCGACGATAGATCCTAGCACCAGTCGGGGATTTTGAATCCTATGATCCTAGCACCAGTTCTGGACACCTGGACCTCCATACCCCGACCTGGACCTCCTGGTTTGGGTTGCTACATGTTCCTGTTCCTACTTAGTTCATCTACTATATCCTACTATGTACTCCTGAGTCTGTACTAGCATGACCATGCATTCCCTACTTCATGCCGGTCAAAGATGCATGTAAAGACTTCAGCATCGAGGCCTTGCAGGGAATCTGGGTAGCTGGAATCTGGGTTCAGTCCCCTCGACCCAATCTAGACGAGAGTCACCAGTCTTTTTGAGGGGTCAGTTGCCTCTGATCTCAGGCAGCTGGACACACACTCTAGGCATGCTGTCTGAAGGACAATGTGGTCTCCGGGTGGATTTCTCCTGTTCCTTCCTGTGCTATTTTTCCGCTTTGGCCCTAAAACGCTATGTAGTGGATTGAGAGTAGATGTGGCACAAACCCCAAGAGGTGGTTTATATGGATCCCCATCTAAAGGACATCATGGGGTCTGTGCCATCTACTCTGAAACCACTGCAATTAGAAAGGATGGAGCGGATGGAGCTCCAGTCATTGGATGGTGCATGGAACCCTTCCCAAAATCCATTGTGCCAACCTGGTTATAGTCCTTCCCAACTTCAGCTTTTTCGAAGGACGGCTGGCCGGGACCCAAGTTTATAGCAATCCGGAGCCGCACAAAAGAGCTCATAATTTGGTTCGGGACTGGATTCTTGAGGTAGAAGGTCAATGAACACCTGTTTCCTTCTGTGAATGACTACTTTTGAACCCAAAATGCACAGGGGACGGAGGCCGAGTTGGGCCTATTTTCTGTAACAGGTCATCAGGGCATCAGGGACCCAGGACGGACGTGCGACGTTGCCCGTTGGTTTCCTATTGCTGGAGCGGTTCCATGCATCCCCCAAGTGCCAGACTCTGACTTGCTTTTGAGAGACTGCCCCAGTTGACTCAGTTGACTCATATTTTGGGGTTTGGGTCTTTTATGAAGCACCATCCAAACATCAAAATATGAATTGTCATCTCCACCAGCCAGGTTCATGAACTTTTCTTGATCAATGCCCACGAAAAGAAATGCTTCCCACCTATGCTTTCCCTAGGATTCAAACCATGATTACAGCCTGAATCCCAAAGAACCATTGCTTTACAAAGGGCCTTTGAACTACAAAAGCCAGGTCAAACATTCTTATAATTTGGGCATAAATCAGTACCAGTAACAGTGGTCCTTCCCAGCGCGATGTCCGTTTCGCCTTCGTTCCCAGCGTGTCGCTACACAGCAGCGTCACAGCACCGTCACCGCGGTGGGGCGGCTTGGAGAGCTCCTACGAAGACGACGGAGCTGAAAAACGGGCGGACGCTTTTCGTTGTTGTGTTTTTTCTCTTTGGAGTGGGGTGACCCCCAACAATCTATAGAACTTATACACAGCCCCAAAAATATATATATATATATATGTGTTTTTCTTTGTTGCAGAATGAGCCGGTTCTACTTCTGGGATGGTCTACGGTTTTGGCAACTTAACAATCTAACAAGCCTTCTACTCAGTGCAAGCAGGATATCCCCCACTAACAGCTAGGTTTCTAACAGGTCAACGCTTAACCATTCCTCCTGCAAAGTATCAAAACAATGGCTGAAATGTCAGGCCAACTTCTTCCGCGTGCATCATTTACATGTCATATCTCCAACATGTGTTGAACATTGAAATGTAATCCAAAGCACGTTTCGGGAAACATGATTCATGTGGATCGCACAACAATGGACCCGGGGTTGTCGCTTTAGTGGAAGATGTCACCAGCCCATGTAGGACTATCATCTCAAACTGGAATGGACCATCAACAATATAGGTGGGAGGCCATTGCTTCTAGGTTGGAGGCCATCGTTATTCGGTTGGAGGCCATTGGTATTGGGTTGGGGGCCATGGCTATTCGGTTGCCATTCCAAACCGCCCAGTAGGAACAACTCTTCAGCGCCACCACTGCACGACACTATGGAAGGACTGCAGCACGCGCCTGGTTTTTGCACAAAAGACTTGGGGTGGCCGCCACAAAAACGGCCCATGCAACGCACACGAATTTTGAGACGTGGTGCAAACCCACAGGGACACTGAAGGATCAAAACATGAGCCAAACAATCAACAAACATGATGGGTAGCCTAAGGTAGGCTCATGCCCCATGATCAGCACATTCATGATCACCACTGTCTGACCAGCAAGTGCCCGCACTCGGTCAAATTGTGGCGAGACAAACGCATCGCCACCTCTCAAGGACTGGAATGGAAAGTGTATGAGGATTGCTCGTGCACGTGTGGAGTGTTCATCTGGGTGCTTGAAGAGGTGTCAACCTGGAAAAAGGTTGTCTCTTTTACTCAATGAGTTGAGCACGCTTGGATTTGTTGCGTGGCGGCTTTCAGAGTTGAGAGAACTTTGCCTCGTAAAGTATCACAATCTTGATCGGGGGTGCACAAAGGTCTGCAATGAACGCTCATTGGTCTGCCTGCAATTCAAGACACACCATGACTCACCCAAGTTCATGATCCGAATAGATGGGTTGTCAATGGAGACCCATCTATCCTTAATAAGAGCGAACATCTTCGAGGCCAACCACACTCACAAAAAGATAGGCCCATCCAAGATCTTCCGAACAGGGTTGATGAAAACCTGGACCTGAACATTCTCCCCACGAAGAGTTCCAAGGGGTATGATGCTCAACCCCATGTTGTGATGCAAAAGATGTGCTCCGTGCAAGTGCTACGAATCATGGCCCAAGCTCTTCAATGCACCACTTGGATTTGCTTAAGGATCTTAAGGAACCCGGAACACATCAACAACTATGCCCCGGAGTGAGGGGGATTCACCCAAAAGGAACATCAACATCACCCTAATCAAGCAAAACAAGGACCAATTCTTCTGTTCTCGCGGCGGTTTTGGACTTCACGACTTCCTCGTTCTCCATTCGTCCCGTCCCGAACACCTGCACGGACACTGAGGTCCCCCCACCGATGGGGAGACCTCTGCACCCCACCGAGCGTCTTTGCCCCTTCGGGGAGAAGAACGGATCGACCGATCGGGGATGGTTCGTTCGGTCTCGAGGCCATGAGGCGCCAGCGCCCGCGATGGGAGCAATGGTCATGGAGAGTAAGTTCGACCCTTGAAAGTGTGTAGACATTGATCTGGGTCAAAATTCAGCGAAAATGGATCAACATTTTTGGGATGAGATCACCACAAGTGTCCACGTCCAAGTGTCGCAAGATGAGAGTCAATCTGTACTACAATTCAATAGCAATGCTTTGTTTTTCATTCTCTTGTCCCAAAACCCAGATAGTGAGTTAGCACCCAAAACAAGGGACAGCGCTCCTGAATAACTCAAGGGGAACTTCTCATATAATGTCAACATAGGATTAACCAACCCCCCTAATAATCAAGCCCAGCTGGAGCCTCCAGTCCTAAACTGATTAAAGCCCTGCAACCTCCCCCTGATAATGGTTTTCCTTGCCAGAAACCCCGGCCCCTATTAATCAAGCCCAGGTCCCCCAGAAAAAAACAAATATAGTTTACTATTGTATTTATATCTACTGTATTATTCATCATTCACACACCATCCCATCAACCATCACCCATCATCAGGTCCAGGTCCTCATCTCATCATTCATCATCAGGTCATCACCTTTATTAAGGGGATGTGGTCTCAAATCCCTCGAATCCCAAACCTTGTTGATCTTGTTGACCTTGAAGGGGGGGGTGATTAGTCCTACGTCGACATTATGTCTTTCTCAAACTCCTTGAGCGGACTCAAACGCTGGAAGCCAGGTCCAAAAAGTGCCAACGGTCGGCTCATGGTTCAGCATACGGTGCAAGCAGGAAATGAGGCATGCTTCGACCAAAAAGGCAAGCAAAGGAACGCGCAGTATCAAGGCAAAACAAGCGGTGGGAAGTGGTGGTTTTTTCCCCTTAGAAAATCAATTATACAAGCATAGACCCCAAACAGCTTCAAAACGATTCGTTTAGACCAATATTAATCAAAAATCGATTTCTTGGTGCGCCCTACCTTCACCCCAAGAGCAAAATGCTTCATCAATGAATTTTCTCGGCATTGACATCGCTATTTGTTCGGCCACACTCCTCTCCAGTAAGCCGGGCCACAGAGACCAGCCACAGAGCTCAAGGGCAAGGGCGCGGCCAAGACAAGGACAAGAGCGGACACAGAGCCCAGCCACAGAGTTCAGGGGCGCGGCCAAGACAAGGACAAGAAGAGGACAAGGCCCAGCCACAGAGGACAAGAGGAGGACAAGGCCTGGACACAGAGCCCAGCCACAGAGTTCAAGGGCGCGGCCAAGACAAGGACAAGAAGAGGACAAGGCCCAGCCACAGAGGACAAGAGGAGGACAAGGCCTGGACACAGAGCCCAGCCACAGAGTTCAGGGGCGCGGCCAAGACAAGGACAAGAAGAGGACAAGGCCCAGCCACAGAGGACAAGAGGAGGACAAGGCCTGGACACAGAGCCCAGCCACGGAGCCCAGCTGCAGAGGTCAGGGGCGCGGCCAGATGCGGCCAGTGAGTGTGGCCAGCTCTTTTGTTTCTAAGATAGAACCCCAACAGTAAACTGTTTGGGGAATTACTGTCCTTATCTTTCCTTCCTTCACACACACACACACGCACCGGGGGTGTGAACGTGATCATGTCGAGTTCGATTAGTCAATACAACAGGGACAACAAAAACAGCCGACTCGAGCAAGCACTGTCAACTGGAAAATCTATTTATAATCTGTATTAGACTTATTATTATGAGGGAGCGTGATTCGGTGAGAATGAACCAGTGGTGTCCAGCCCGGGAGAGCAAAAAGGAAGACCTCTTCTGAAAGTCGCCTTTGGCTTCATGGCCACGAGCACTTGCACCAAGAGTGCCATTTCTTCATCGCAGCGTCTTCTGGAAAGATCCCTTCATCCCGCTCTGGACCAGCAGCTTGGCACTGGACCAAAAGCTTAGCAACCTGTTTTTCCCCTTCTCCTTGATTCCCAGAAACAAATCCTTCCAAGAAATACAGACAAAACTTTCTTTCCAGATCGCCCCTGAAAGCTGGTTTCAGCCCACTTTTTTTCGCGTTTTTGCTGCCACCTGGCTCAGGTTCCATGAAAAGCGGCTTTCTGGAAATCCGCGAACTGGCTTTTGCGCTCCTCGCGGCATTCCTCTAAGAGCTCGCCTTGAATCAGCCCACGCACGCCCCGAACGAAGGCTAAGACCTGGTTGGCTGGGCGTCCTGGTGATCCTTGTTTGGGCTCAAGTGGCGAAAACAGTACGAGTACAAGCCCAAAAAGGCTGCAATGTACATATGGTATTTTATGGTGTTATACTTGGTGTTATATATAATCTGCCTAATATGAATTGGCCTACCTACATGGAGTGTCTGGATTAGTGTCTGGTGATGTCAAGTTCGCCAATTCTGATCTTCGAAACCGGAAGTTCTCCAGAACTTCTTCCATCCTTCGAGGGCGGTTCTCGTAAGCATTCGTCCAAGTGACTCACATCCACCGTTCGTTCGGTCACTTCTTCCTCTAGGACCTCACCATCCTCGCTTTCCACCTCGGAGCTGAAATCGATTTCTGGAGAGGTTCACCGACTTTCCACCTGGATGGTGGGAAACCCATGCGCTTTCGTTAAGGTTCAAGGTGATCCACTTTCGTTGGGTAGACTTCTTCCGGAGGACAAGCGCTAGGATATCTCGGGCGACGGGCGCCCCCAAACTGCCCCAAAAGGAGCTCGGACTCCAGTCGTACCATGTCGTACCATGTCGTACCTTCGCTTCAGTTCGGTGGGACTGGGGTTGCCAGGAGGTCACATACCGTATGACTGGAGCCCTAGGGTTGGCGCAACTGGTGAGGTTTGGTCGTCTGTTCCAGCTTGGAACAAGCCCAGTCGCACGTCGTCACAAGACCAGTCCAGGAAGGGTGCCGAACATCCAAACGTGAAAACGACGCCGAAATCGTGGCGGGTTCTGAAACGAGGTGGAGGGAAGCCCAAACAGCTCGAGAACGAAGGTGATGTTCATCTTAATGATTCTTCAAGCATTCATGGTACTTCTTGCGAAATCCGTTCATCTCTAGGGCTGCAACAAAGGTTCACAGCACCACTTGCGCCGCCCCCGGTTCGGCTTCTGCCTCTCCGTCTTCGTGTTTTGCGACTTCTCAGTGCATGAGAAGTGGCCATCCCAGTTGGCTTCTGCGGCTGCCTCCGGAAGTTGGTACTCTTCTGGTGACAGCTCCTGGCGAGAAGAGCAACCCGGGGTCAATGCCAAACCGGCCAGAACAGATGGTCCAAACCAACCCGCAGAGGCCGCAGATCTCTCTTACATCTTCAAAAAAATCGGCAGAATATGCCGCTTCCACAGCCATGTGCTGTCCATCTCCATTCCGGCCAAGGTGCAAGCGCCAGGTGGTGGCTGCTGCCACATAGTCCTGTGCTTCGCCGGTGCGGCGAGGCTGCGAGGATGCAAACGATGGTCTTCTTAATTGACAGGACGTCATGGTCTGTGTTAATTGCTTGTTCCCTGGAAAGTGTTGATTTTGGAAAGCAGTGAGGGGGTTCTATGTTTGAACCAGAAGCCGTCTCTGTTCTATTAAGAGACAAGTTCTTCGGACATCTTCGGCGAACATCGGGCCCATCCAACTCATCGCCGAATGGAGCTATCTTGGATCCCATGCAGTCCATGATAGTTTTCTTCCAGGGTCATGTGGGACGCATTAGAATCATTACAAAGCAAAACTGCCCAGCCAATATTTAGCTGGGTCCGAGGTGAAGGATATCTGTACCTAGTTTCATCCCAATTTCAACTGAAACGCACACCGCCTGCTGTGGAGACCCCTGCTGTGGAAGGTCAACCCCCTTGCTATGGATTCTTAGGTGAACATTTAAGAAACACACACACAAGAGAGACCAATCCTCCAATGTCCGCTCTTCGCAACACCTAGTCCCACCCTTTTCCATCAGCTCCTGGACCACGTCCAAGAGCTTCCGTGGGATCTTCGGGAAGTCGGCACCTCAAGGTGGTTTTGGACAGTGATCCAGTCTTTGCTCCGAATTGAGAGGGCACTGTTCTTCAGGTTCCCTCCTGCCTTAATGCTAACTCCTTTGAATACCAGAACTTTCTAACAGGTGGTTTCTGGGCACTTGTTGTCTCCAGGACGCCCCTTGGAGAGCCAGGTGCTGTATATCTGGATACTGTATATCTGGATCACCTGGGACATCTTTTTGGTGTGTAGAATGTGTGGGGCCAGTGTAGTGTTGGTGACCCCAAAGGGATGGGGTTGGGAAGTGATTGCTGGAAATTGGTGTTCATGCAACATGAAGAAATCAGTGGATGATGAAGGTGGGCCAAAATATGCGGACCCTCTCAATTTGTGACCTGCCAAAGGGTCCTTCTGTATAGAAAGCGCGTGAGAAAACACACGCCATAGTAGACTAAAGGTACAAGAGGTCCGCATCTCGAGCTAGACTGAGGTCGTCCCGCTGGCAGCTTTCAGCACCACAAAAAGAATGAGCATCCAGCATGGATCCTCCAACAGGTGATTCCTGGTGACAACCTGCCAGGGTCCAACACAGCCTCCAAAAGAGGGTCCTGGATAGTCCTGGTCTGGTTTCACATGTTTCACTGTGGGGTGGTTCCACGCAATGGTGTGCATTCGAGAGCGCGCGTCCCACTTCTCGAAGGGTCACTCGCCCGTTTGAGCTGCTCGAGTCGTTTGCGGCGTGAGCACGATCACAGGACCAGCACTAAATAGTGGCCACACTGCTGCAGTGGCACCGTCAACGTGCCTGCTGAGCAACCGGAGCGGCTAATATTTGTTCTCCCGAAAGTTTTGAGGGGCCAAACCCCTACTATGCAGGGTCAAGACTCTCCATATAGAAGCCAGCTCAACGCTCGTCCGACCCATCCGACAACCAAATATATAAGTTGGACTCATTGGCTGAACCGCCGAAGAACTCGATCCGTCCTAAGAATATCTAAGCATCCTTGGGCCCTCCATGGCAGGTGTCGGACATGGTCGTACCCTCCATAGCTCCGGGCACACAAAACCCTGTTTGTTTGAGGACCCGGATGCTTAGGGCGGGATGAGTTTTTTGGCCAAGGCGCTCGTGATCAAAAAGACTTCGCACATGGGCGACGTCACACGCACGGTGAAGGGCTCTGGTGCCTGACGCCGTTCTTGCCGATCAGCCGATCCACCTGGTTCCTACCCTTGGGATACTTAGATATTGCATTTATAACAATAGTAATAATATATATATATGATGTATGACATTATATATTTTATGATATCACTCTTCAGGGCCATGATGTAACTATGATACGTAATACGTATACTGTGATAACATGATGTAAGTCTTCAGGGCCAAAGGGACCCAGTGCGAAAAAATCACAACCTCCCAATCCACAAAACCAGGAGTATGATTCCAGTATGCCAGGTGAGGCCTCTTTGCGTGGGGGGATGCTCACATTGGTCTGTACGTCCTCAAAATTGGAAGATCTTCAAAGTGAAATTGTCCAAGGAACCTGCTTTGGAGGTGATGCATGCGGCGAGTGGATGCAGATAGGTTGGTTCTGATATTTTGAAGCCAAACGGAGCCCCTGATACCCTGCTATCTCCACCCTGACGTGGAGCCTCTAACATATCATGTGTTATTCTCCACTCTTGGATGGTGTTAAGTAATGCCGAATCCGACTCAAAGTATCCTCAAGATTATTCAAGATTTCTTTTGGATACTTGTGGGTCCCCAACCCTTGGGAGAAAGGACCCTATCTACTTTCCTCTTCCCTACCCTGGGCACCGAATTCATCCCCACCAAACAACAAGTGGAACAACCAGCTCAGGTGGACTCATGAAACCTCTACTCGGTGCCCATTCGGTGCAAACATTGGTCTCCCAACTCCTGGACGATGCCGGTGTGTTTCACAGCTCAGTCTGCGCTTCAACTGAGGGACATGAAAGGGCAAGGATCCAAAGACGCCTCCCTGCACCAGCACACCCCGCCGCGACATGACGCCGTTGGGATTGCCTGATGCGGGGATGCGGGGATGCGTCCGGGAAGCAATGGAGTTTCATCCAGGAGAGGTTGGAAGACCCCAACTGGGACCCTGTAGTAAGTACAATGTGGAATGGACTATAAGGCTGTTCAACCGTGTTCAACCTCTCTAACTGGAGAATGGGCGCCCTCTACCAGCTGAAGCCCTGACTGACGTGGAATTCCTGGTGCGCGATGCCAGGTTTTCACCACAAGGGTGGCATAATCCCAGTGCATTCTCCAAAAAATGAAACGGACACAGAACAAACTGGAGGTTCACCATAATTTCATGGACCATAGATCTTCATGTCTTCGTGCCCTGAACGTATCGAACAAGGTCGAACACGTAACCCCCTGCCACGTTGGCTGTGACCCGCCATGGAAACTTGAAGACCAAGCAGTGCTGCATTTGTGGCATGCGTGATTGCTTGATGTTAAATCCTCGAAACGCTAAAAGGCTAAAAACAATCAAACACATTTCCTAGCATTGAAACGGCTCTCTGCCCCCAAACTTGCTGCCATGAAATGCCATCGGCCGCCCCTCAACTTCTGAACCTCCAGCCCAGGCAGCCGGTCCGATCAACATGGAGTTGGCACACTTACCCTACTACAAGTCAATGACCTCATTATATTGGTCATACAACCGCACTACTGAGGGGAGAAATCACCAGGTTTCACTGACTTCACTGGGTCTTTGGACTTCTAGGCTTCGGCTTTCCTCCCCCTCCCCGCGCTGAACTTCACTGGCCCAGTGGCAGTCGTTGGCTTCCGCCGCCACATTGCCATCCCGCCCGATGCCATGCGCGCTCCGCAGCCGTGGCTGTGAGGCGGAGAGGCCTTTCGGAGCCTAGCGGATCGGGTCCCCTTCGCGGCAAACCACCGGGGACGGTGGTGACACACCGGAACAAGCAAGACAGACCTCCAAAACGATTCACCTTTCAACGAAACGAAACCGACAGATGGAGCGGTTTCAATGTGACGCGATGGAGCCCCAGGCCTTTGGTTTGTACTATGCAGATGTTTGACACAAGAGGAAGCAGTCCTGCACAAGTTTTGTTAGAAAGTCCGTGGTGCTGTAGGTTAATCTTGGAGGATGCCTCTTTAAGTTCTCAAAACCTCGACTTGACAATGATGAAGAATACCCAAAGAACTAACCAAAGTATAACCCCCTTGCAAGGGAGCTATAAAATTTGCAAAACAGGCCCTTTCTTGTTACGCCCTAAGACTCCGAACCCTTAAATGGGAAGGGATTTGAGGGTCCGGACCCCTGTGAATGGCCCAAGGATTCTTAGGGCAGTGTAGATACCCAAAGGAGGACTACTGCTTTAGATTGCGCATGATTGCGCAATCTTGTGCCTCATGCTCTCGCTAAGTTCCACTAGCTCATCCCACCATGCACCCATCTCGACCACTGCGAGCACGCCAATCAGCCCGTTGCGGATCGGAGCCTTCTTGAGGGCGCTTAAAGGTCTCAGGTGGGGCATAGACTTCTTGTCATCCCCACTCATCCTCTCCAACCTTCCACTGCATTGGCTGGGAGGGTCAAAAGTTTTTTCCACACCTTCCCCCTTGAAAACGAGAATGGAACAAACACCATGATTCTTCGTAAGATCAAAGGTCTCAAGAGCATCAGTAGGCGATGCTTTGGGCATATCCCGCTACCAGCAACAGTGGATGATGATGGCTGATGGCTATAGTGATAAGTGATAACTGTCTACCGACCGTTGCAGGTAATAGGACAACCCAGAGCGATGCTACTGAAGGAGATCATGTTGCACCACCTGAAAGGGGAGAGCGTGTCTTTGATACCTTCCACCTGGTGCAGGTTCTTCCCAAAAGAAGACTGGGCAAACAATGACGGACTTTCCAGACAAAGTACATAAACATACATAAACAGTCCACATGTTGGGGTGGTTTCAGGGCTATGTATTCTACTCTTCATCTGGAGGATGTGTGCCATGCAATGCCATGCACAACCAATGAATGCGGGAACATGTTGGAAAAACAAGCTTACCTCGCAGCAAAGCCTGGGGAGCTTGTACATCCCCAACTCACAAATCCTGCACTTGGACAGTTCTGCGTCGGACGCATCTCTGAAAAGGAGGGTGCGTGCGTCGCTGTGATACACTAATTGAAGGACTTAGCCCAACGATCTACCGTAAACGAGCCCAACGATCTACCGTAAACAAACATTCAGGAGTACAAGGAGAACTCCAAGCAAGATGTATAAAGGAATCGCACAATACAGAAAGGATCACCAAAAAACACAAGCTCAATGGAGCCAAAGGAAGTGTCAATGGAATTCCAAGGCAACCAAGCTGATTTCATCTTCGAGCTCAGCACAGTGGGCCCCTTTCTTGACGCGATGCCGCAACTGCCCAACCCAGGAATTGATCAAACCTCCGAGTCAACCATATGTTTTCTTGTTGGACCACTTTGGTTTATGTTAGTCCCTGAGGGTGTGATGGACATTTCATGAACTCCATATGGGTTGCAAATAAGCCTGCACGTCTTTTGACTACTGCTGATTGAACCCTCCATCCAGCAGCTTCCCAGTCACCACCAACCCCTGCCCAACCACTGAGTCTCTCTTGAAACCCCTGCCCGGGACGGAGACCCAAACGCAAAGTCGTCAAACATCCTCACCTTAGGGATCCCCACATACACCCCCCCAACGGCTGATGCTTGGGTACGCTATGGCTTTGGTGGACGTTCGATACCCTAGGGCCTTGGGGATCCAGTCGTACCCTCTAGAAGGTACTTGGACCCTCCAAACCTACATAACAATCATAACAAATCATAACAATGTATCCAATCACCTTCTCAGAAGGTATATACTTGGATGTTTAGGGATACAACTGGCATCACACTCTTTCAGCCGCCCGTACGTCACTCCCTTCCGTCACGCCTCTCCAAGGAGAGGATCTCAGCCCTGCGGAATTCCACAGCGCCTCACGCGGCGCGACCGGACCGTGGAAGGCCCGACAAAGGGCCGCACAGGGCCACGGCGCTGGATCCACGGTGTGTGTGACTGAGAAGCTCAGAAAACGGCATTCGACACGCGGACACTTCTTGCTTGATGTTCAATGTTTTGGGCCATATATATCTTAGAATGATCTGAAACAAGTTGGTCCATGGATTGTTAAGGGCACACACACACACACGCCGCTTGGTGTTTACCGTAGTTTGGACCTCGGGTGCTCCCGACGCGTTGGCCCAACAATTTGAGGAACCGTCGAACATGAATGGACAAAAGGTCCACCTTACGGACCTTGCAATTGCTTTAGTTCCATATAGTATAGTATCATATATAGTGCGTGTTAATTGGGTTCCTGCACACCCGTTGGTGTCTCACTGCCACACATCAAGCTTATAAGCCTTAACCTCATCCATCAATTCATAGGTTCTAGTTCAGTGGGTCCACCAGATGTTCTTCCACCAGCATCCTACTTCCACCATCTTCCTGTCTCCTCGCGGTCCCCGATCTCCAAAGACTACTCTCATGGCAGGTCGTCCAAACCCCCACTCGATCCGTGGGCGCAACGGGCACCCGGCTGGGCGGGGCGATGTGCGACGGGCCTTTATAAACCACCCACAAGTGGGGCTCCGCGATCTTCCCTTGCACCAGGAAGGTGTGCCCACGTGGGAACCTTGGTTTCTGGCATGCAATTGAATTGGTTTCTGGCTCCCTGACAACTGCCTGGGAGGTGGATGTTAAGGTGCATCTCTGTTCCCGTAAATCTGTCGCAGTGGCTGTAGGACGTGTTACTAGTAGCGATGCACGTGTTTTAGTATTAATGCCAGGAGGAGCTACTAGTAGCTTCCTGTTACTAGTAGTAGGAGCTACTAGTTTCTTTTCGTTATATATATAGTAGTAATTTAAGATAATTTAAGGTATAATCAAAGGTTTTATAAGGAGCGCGACCAATCGCACGTCACGGCCGTAAATCACCACGCAGTGGCGATTTACGGCGACCGGCAAGCTACGGTCGGTCCAACGCACCGCCCCCACGATGTACACAAGGGCATCGCTACTAGGAACAAGGGCATTTCTACTAGTAGCTAGGAGCTACTTGGTTTCTACGGCACCCCGAACGTTTGTTGATTCAAGCATCTTCAAGCTATCCCCACTCATCCACGATAGGGTGGGTTGTCTTATCTCAAATCTAGCTACCCGGCTCCGGGATTGACCCGTCAAACAAACATGTTTCTCGAGTACCCCGAGTTCGAACCAGCCTCACTCGGAGCGCCAAGGGGCTTGCCATGTTTGAACATGTAGCTCGCATGAGGTTTTCCTCCTGGTTTCGGCACCGGGACCTCCTTCATCCCAGGCAGGTGCCGCATCAAAAATCGGAGCTTCTCGTCTCCCTTCTTGACCATCCTGAGCAGTACGGCGCTCCATTTTGAGATCTGAATTCAACGCATCCGTGGATCGATGTCTTTAAGCATCATCAGGGTACTAGTAGGTTGGGGGCATGATTGATGAGAAACGAAAAGGCTCCCGTCATTTCAGGACCGGGTCTGTGGTCTTGAGAAGCTATGGGTGAAGGACCTCGAGTAGAAAAATGGACCAGGTAGTGGGAAGCCTCTCATGTCCACGTAGATGGGCCCATCCTCTGGACACCCTTTGCAAATCCCTTGAATCACTCAAGCGTATATCTTTGAAGCAGCAAGGAGAACCAAGCCGGGATGAGAGCAATGTTCTGGCATGTAAGCGATGTAATCTCACCAAGCCACTCCTCTTTGAGGACGTTGTCAAAATCATTTCTGCGGATAACAAAGAACTCGGCATCTTCCAAGCATTTGGCTGAAGCCAGCCTTGGCGATAGTTGATAGACAGTGTCTATGTCCCAATTCAATTGCCACAACGCCATAGAGGTCAATACCAAAATGATCAAACGTGCAACCCAAGCATTCTTAGCTGCGCCCCCTTGCAAATCAGGTGTCCAAGCTGTTCCCCTGACCCCGGAGATACCGGTATATAACACCACCAATAGTCGGCTTTGTCAAGTCAAGTATGGCACCAAGTCAAGTCGGGTGTCTGAGAACCTCAAGATCTGATAGTGACCTCCGTGGAGTTCCACATCCCCACAAAGCTCCCCAAAGGGCTACATATGCCTGGCAACGTGCAACCTGCTTTTTTCGCAGCCCCAAAAACGGATTCGGATTGGTTCCCTCAATTCCGTCTCCAGGAATCTGCCCCATCTATTCTGTTGATGTGTTCCCATCAAACCCATCGAAATTGGAGCCACCCCCTCGCCTGGGTTGGTCGTTCATTAGCGCGAGCTCGCCAAGCACGCTGCCGGGCGAGAGCTTCGAGACACGATTGCCTCGGGCAACGCGGAAAGCGCCTAAGAAGTGACTCGATAACATAACAAGTGGTGTCCAAGTAGATTTCTGTGCACTGTGAAACCAATACATTTAAGTGGGTATGTGTTTTCTATCTATTTGGGGATCTGTATAAGTGGCGTGCATGAATGGAACCGAAACTTGGCGCCGGACAATTTTGAATCTTCCACTTTCATGACTATTTTAAGGGAGCACAAAAAGCCCAACAACAGTAATTGTGACAGTCCGACCATCACGTAAATCATTTTCGTCAGTCCCATCGCGAACGCGGCGGTCCGCTCATGCTGACGCCACCAATTCCAAGGCGCCCAAATTGATATCATCGTGGTATCCTGGGCCAGGACGCGGGACGCAGCGTGCAGGACGCACGCAGGCGACGATGGTCATTTCGTAAGTACTCGACGAAATAGAGCTACATTGTGCCGTAGTCTACCTCTGCAGTGACGGGTATACTATGGCATGACTGGTTGACCAAATCGGCATAGTGTATAGTATAGTTTTTATAGATTTTTTGTTATTAACACAAATATTAAACATTAATTAATATACATATATTGTATATAAAAGTGCATATATATATATATATAGCTGCAGTTCATTGTAGTTTCACCTTTCAGGAACCAGTTCCTCTTCGCGGATGGTCAGAAATCCGTGCCCCCACTGGTGGCCGCGTTCAGGCCCCAGTTAGCCCGAGAGGCGACTGAAGCCATCCACGGTCTTCTGCCCAGGCAGAAAGTCTTGCAGAAAGCCATTGGTGTCACCTGAAGCTCCATCCAAACCAGGTCGCCCCTCACGACATCCATGGAAGCTTGGAGGCCTATGTTAGACTGTTAGACCCTCCCTGAAACATTCGAAGCAGAACGCCTGGAAAACCATTGTCCTCTACTTGGGGGATCTGCTCAGCTTCCATGATTGCATTAAGTTCTTGAACCCGTTGCAATTGATGCAAAACTGGACTAAAGGGACAAAACTAGAATAAACGCTTTCCTCTGGAAGACTTAAAAGGTTCAACTTTGCGATCTTCCTTAGACACAGCCAGGGCAGGGCAACAACTACAACATCCAACACACTCTATACAATTAGAGCTGCTCTAGCATCAAATGATTTCTCCTATTCACCTGGCAAGCCACCAAGTGCAGAGAATCTGTGCTGCCCTTGTTGTGGCGCCACGGGCTGTCCCTCTTCATCGGCCGCCACATAAACGCCCACAGAGCCAGAAATGATGACCTCGATCTGCGCGTGCCCCTGTTTTTGGGGTGCCCCTGGAGGAGGAGGAGGAGGAGGAGGTGACTTCTATGAACACATAGAACCCTTTAAGGGACAGTTGTATATAGTTATATAATTAAGCATGTAATTGCACAATATTGCACATAACTGCCGCGCGTGGGACAAGCTCACTCGCTCACTCTGGGCATGGGATTTGGACTGGGGCCCACTGACATCGCGAGAACAGATCCGTAGAGGCTTGTCATGGGTTGTCTGCAAACAAGGACGAACCCAGGAGGCGCCCACCTGTCGGGGTGTCCTGAAGGGGGCGCCACCAGTGGTGACGCTGAAGCTCGAACCGGCCCCCGCCGTCCGAACGAACGGCGCGACCGGGCGGACGCCCAAAAAAACCGCATGCGCATTGGACAAACGGGATGAAGTGTAGGGTAAATATGACCTACATGACCCAAATGGACAGGCATACATGGAGCGCCTGGGAATAGTAGATGATCAGGGCCATGTTCCATATCATGGGGGTAAATATCTACCCTCCCTCCCACAATCATGGAAGTGGAGCCCCTGGAAAAACAAGTTTCATCTATAATATCCACTTCCATGTTAGAGGGAAGTGTTAGATCCATGGATTTAGCAGGGCGTCACACACATCATGGAAGCACTGTCCAAAAAGAGGGACCAATTCCAACGACACACACTTGGGTATGAAAGAGAGCGCATTCCCCGACCAAAAGTCAACATCGAAGGCAATAGTTAAAAAATACTGGTTGGGTGCAAATACATTCGATACATCGAAAACCGTACTCCGTACCCACATCCCAAATTCGCTGCCGAGGCTCGTAGCAACAGCCTGGGGGATCACCCTGCTTGAAGAGAACAGTGCCAGCCTGAACTCTAGACGGAGCATTGTACAGAGACCCACCAAAGAGTTCCACATGTCGCGATGCCGGACTTGGGAGCCTTCTGTTTCCCAAGACATGCAACATGATGTTCACGTACTCTCAAAACCACCACTTGGACTCCGGGTGTCAAGGAGTTGAACCACACACAACGAAATCCTGGATAGGTGAGTGCCTTTTGTTGGAGGAGCTTGGAAGAGTTGCAACTCGTGAAGGAATGACACCTGAAGGAATCCACACTGCTCTACAGCTTGGTCTGCCTCTCTCTCCCTCTCTCCCTCTCTTTCTGGGGCTCACCAAGCCCAGCTTGGTCCACCGGTCCACCAACGCTTGGTCCATCACAACCATGTCCCTATTCATCTCCCAACCGCCACGAGCCGGCCAAGCGTTGATGGCCAGTCAGTGTTGACCGGTACCCATCTGGAGCAGCATGTGATCGAAAGGAATTCGTTTCAGAGATTCAGTTGAGAACATCGAAGACTCACACGATCCAGTTGATCTGATCCCAACCCCTCAACTTCATATAGCCTCCATTGCAGGGGTTAATGTATATATACCCCTGCAGAGTTCACCCATGGGAGGCTTTTTCGGAGGAGCAGCCTCCAGTTGTTCCAATGACGTGAAGAAACACCCCTCATATCTGGGAGGAAAACCCGGGTCGACCCTCCATTCGAGTCCATCCATCGCATCCGAGTCCACTCGAACGCGTGAAAGCCAACACGGAGTGAAGCAAGTCGCATGTGAAAGCCTGACATGGGTCGCCTCCGGCCATCACTGACCCTCCACGACTCCAAGACATCCCTCCAAGACTCCAAGACATCTGGAACGGGGGCCCAAGCCAAGCGATGTTCTTAGACCAAAGGAAAACACATAAAACCCACCCGGTCCCATCGTGAGCGATCTGAACCCAACGATCCGAAGCCTTGCAAATGATGGATATCACAATCTCCGGAAGCATCTTGAGAACCTCGGGCCAGTGCAGCTACAATTGGAGGCCTGCAATTTGAGGCTCGACCCCTTGCGGCACCTGTGCCTTGGCGTGTCTCAAGACATTTGACCAGCAAGCACAGTCAGGAGTCAGGGCACATGGATGAAGTAAATGAGGTCCAGCTTGGGGGTGAGTTATTGGATTCGGATTCTGGCTGAACATGCTCCAGATTAGAGACTTGTCATCTACAAAAAGGAAACTCTCTCGTGCAAGATCTGAAGAAAACCACGCGAACGTACTGGACTTGCCCCAAGCGACAGTGGCATCCATGTCCTTGAAGATCTTCACCTTGGATGATTCTTTTTACAAAAAACAGCGGAAGTTGGAAGGACACGAAAACCCTCGCGTGGCGAACGAACAGTACGAACACATGACTGGATGGTAGTGACAAATGTAGGATATATATATATGTCAAATGCTAAAACCTCCCCATTTGGATGCACGCACTTGCGAATGCTTCGCGTCCACGCAACCCCGTGTCATGTGGTATGACGGGTGAAGGTGGATGTAGTAAGTGAAAAGAACGGAGAGGTGCATAATAGACATAGCACACACACCCAACTTCAAGTCGTGAAACCGAAATGCAAAGTCTCTTGCGCAGTTACCAACATGAATTTGTGAGCATCCAGCTTGCTAGATCTTCCACGCAAGCATGCGCCATGTCCGCTCCTCCTAGCAATCTTCAAGAGACACAAAACATCGCACTCTCGGCCAAGTCACGGTTGACAAACTCTTTTGGATACGCTCCTGGGAGCCCACGAAGAGCGAAATTTGGGGGCTACATGGTGGTGTGCCCCACGGCTTCGTATTTTGGTTTCCAAGAACCCCGATTGGTCCGACCAACCATGGTTGCGTAAAGGTTTGGTTGATGGACTTGGGCATTGCACGTGACCCTGAGAGGTGGCACGTGACCCTGAGAGGTGGGGGGGAACTGATCCAACCGTCTAGCAGTTTTTCAGCGTCTTCTTGAGCCATACCGTGTCATCAACTTGAAATCGCCAGGTCATGAAACACGGTCATCGCAGTTGACCCATATATGGCATCTTGTGCAACACATCCCAAGCATTGCACTACCACCGACCGTTACAGACCTTTCACCCTTCGAGTGTAGATGGAAGTGATGCCCACCGTCACCGGCGGTGACCGACCGGTGGACCTATACCGACGTCACGGTCGGTCGCCGTTCGCGAACGAGCGTGGTGTCGACTGAGGGTTCCAGGCTTTGACCGAAGATGGCGAACGACCACGCAGTTGGCCATCTCCCTTGACAACACGGCACAACAGGCTAGCAGTTCAGGCTGAATGCGGGAAGAATGGACCGGCCGTGCCAGTGACCAAGGGAAAAAACACCGGGTACTACCTATAAGGTCCATCTCACTCTGGGTCTTCAAGGAGACTCACGGAGACGAGGTTTCTGAGTGGATGATCATCGACGAGCGAAGCTCACTCTATGCTCAGCTGGCTGTAACCATTGGAGGCAAACCCGTTGAACCTTCAGCACCCCATGCAGACGACCCGTGTTTCCCCTGGCTTGGCGCTCATGTCGCTGTTGGTTCTTCTTGTGAAAAAGAGGCTTCACTCTCCGTGGAACGTACAAGGCCATCTTCGGGTTTGTGCCATAGTTCTCTGAAACCACTGAAAGCCCCTTGAAAACTGGATTCGCGAGAACTTCTTCCAAGGCCCTGCTGAACCCAGGTTCCTACCGAAGCCATGGAACGTACCGAGGCCCGCGTCTCCGAGCGTCGGCGGGCTGTTGCGAGGCCGTCGGGGACACCGAGACCCTCTTCATGCTGCCACGGGCATCGGCCTGGGAAAGCACGGAGATCGTCCTGGTTTCCACCTATATACAAGGAACCAGGGACTCGTTCGGTCTATTGTTTTAGTCTTTGGAACCACTGGTTACCAGTTTTTTTGTGGTTTGCTGCGCTGGGCTGGATTTGCTGTCCAGGAGCCGGCGGACACATACTTCATAGCACAGACACCAGGTCCCACAAGGTGTCTGTGCTATGGATCCCTTTTACTTCTATACGGAGCCCCTTGATTTCGGGGACCTGGTGTACGCAACTCTGCTCTTCACCCTGATCAGCTTCTCAGGTCCTGCGCATACAAAACCATCAAAGGTGATACACCGGACCTGTCGAAGCCCACCCAGTCGACCGAACCCGACCCAACTCCAGTCGAATTGCACCCTGGTGCTCTGACCGCCCAAACACACCCAAGCTCCCCGAAGCGACCCGTCGCTCGGCGCAAAGGGGGGGCTTTCGGTCTTTGTTGGGCTGCTGTTGGTCTGGAAACGCACAGAGTGAGCACGGTCGAAAACCCAATCAATCAGTGGATCGAGAACTTGAGAGGAGGGAGACACGAAAGGTAGGACAGCGGAAAGAGAAGAGAACGCGAGAGGCAGGAACAAAAATGCAATGTTCGACTTGGTGATTTATCCCCTCGGAGGCGACCTTTCGTAAATATAAGTTCATATGCACTCTAAATGTTCAAACATATGCTCTCGAAATGTTCAAAAAAATCTCAGGAAAACAAACTTGCCCCATGGCTCAGATCATCGGTGAGCATTGAATCGGAGCATCATAGGATTTGAACTATCCTGAAACCATAAGAAGTTCACGAAGACGTTCCCCAGGAGAGAATTGACGTGCTTCACAAAACAAACTCTAGGTATGTATCCCCTCGGGGAACACCTTTCGTGATTAGAATTTCATATGCACTCTGTGAATGTTCACGAGGGTTTCAACTATCCTGAAATCATGAGAGGCTCACGAAGATGTTCTCCAGGAGAGAATTGAATTTAGAGGGGGGGAGGGTGGGGGGGGGTCTGTATTGAGAAATCAATTCCAAGGGGGGCGGGGGGGGGGGGGGGGTCTGTTTTGAGAAATCAATTCGAAGGGGGGGGAGGGGGGGGGTTGAATTGAAGGATCAATTATCAGACCCGGACGCGCCAACACTTGCTTCGCAAGACAAACTCAAGGTATCCCCTAAAGGGCTACCTTTCGTGAAAACAACGAAAACTCTCGACCATCTATGACCCATCCGAAATGAAAAATCTATTCGATCTCTTACATTTACATTTCCACTGCTGAGTCGTCCTTTTTCTCATATACCTGGATCTTCCAACTGTCACAAATTTCTGCCTTTTCATCACCAGCCAAAAGGCAAACATTTTGCATAATTGGAAGATCCAGGTATATACTCAGCCCCCCCCAGATCCGTCGTGTCTGCACGTCAAAACCGACCTCTGGATCAACGGGATCCTTCGCGCCTCAATCCTTGGGAGCATGGAGGCCCGTTTGGGCCCGAGCGGTGCCATCATGCCTGAGACGGGGGCAAAACCCAGCGTCCCCGCGGAGGCAAGACGGAGTGCCATGGCCCAAAGCAAACTCATACCCAAACGCTCCATGGGACTGCCATATATGCCGATCAGTTGGGGTGGTTTGGGGGGTCAATGTAGGCATATATGGCATACATGGAGTGTACTCTGGGAGTCCAGTCGACCATTTTTAACACGGTCCGACTAGGTGATCCGAAAGGGAACTTCCTCTCTACTTGGGTGGTGTCGAGAATAGTCTTGTGGGACTTCTAGGGTCTAACGCCTCGCAAACGCCACCCCCAAAGGTGCAATCTGTTTCAGATGGATAAACATGGAGAGCAAAGGGTGAAATCTCATCCGGTCATCCAGAGAATTGGTTCATGACCCTCTACTCCATCATGTTTGCGATTTCACCCGATTCGGAAAGAACTCACTGACTGGGTGCACGCACGCACTCGGCTGTCCCCGACTGGGTCATCCATGTACGAATGGAGCCGGAGCCGAGCCCCGAATACTACCTGTAAGGCTGTGAAGAACTCAAACGACATGAGCATGGATGGAATCAACCCTTTAAAGAATATGTTTAAGTGTTCCATGATGCGCATGATGTTGGTTATCTACAGCAGCTATAGCACCTATGCCTCTACACCGTCTACACCCCAACCTGACTCACCTTCAAACTGCTACACGCCTGGTCTGCCTCATCGTTGCAAATGCACAAGGCCATTGTGTGAGTTTGAGTTGTCTGCTCCCTGGTCAGTGGAGACCGATGTCCGTACTTAGAAAACATACAAAGGCCGATGCCAAGTACCCATATATATATATATATAAGGTTCTTCACTTCGAGACATATCCCCATGAATCCCCATGATTACAATTAATATGTATATATGACATGTATGAAACAACCAACCAACAAAATCAGGCCATCTATGGTGGAGACCTGTCCACCGTCTCCTCCAGGCGGCTGCTCCGAGCCAAGCCGGGCGCCATGCTGCTGCGCTTGTGGACCCGCGCCATGGGCGGTGCTTCGGTGCTTCGGGGCCTCACGTTGCAAAGCTGGCGGATCACACACAGTTAATAACTCACAGTTGCAACAATAAGAAGAAGATTCAACATGATTCAACTAAGATCTACTCATGTAGCAACATTATGCAGCATGATGCATCACATATCATGTATATGATATATACAAATCATCACGAACCCATCGGGGTTGCAAGGGATTGTGTTTGGACTCGGGGAGTTGCTTAATCAACACCCCTTACCACCCAACTGGCGCCCTGAACGGGCGTCCTGGTATGGAACAAATCAACGCACACACACAAACACAAACTCGCAAATTCAACGTGCGCCAGCAGCTTCCACCCTACCTCCACTAGAGAATACATGTGACAAAAAGGGGTCTCTTCTGTGGCCCCCCCCACATGTCAAAGGCTCCCAACCAAGTACCACGCTTGTCCCCAAATCAGGAGATGCCGCAACTCTGCAATGGGGGCAATATTTACAAAGTGTTTCCCTCCCTAGAAGGTCTAGAAGAATCAACTACATCTGTTCCGAAGCTCACGCCATTCTGCATAGGCCACCAGAGCCCACGCGCGCAAAAATGGTTGCGGGGGACCCGGAGCAGTAGATGTTCATGTCAAAACCAAAAGCGGAAGATCCCATCCCAAACACTCCATGTATGCCATATGTACATATATATATAATATGCATACATTGACCCCCAAAACCACCCCAATGTAGGCATATTGTATAGGCATATATGGCAGTCCTCAGTGTCTGAGCATGAAACAAACTTCCCCGGGTGAGAGGGACCCCCGAACAAAAGAGTCCACATGGTCTCTAAAGCTTTGCAGTCGAATTCCCTGAACAGGCTGTTCATGTATTTTCTACCATCTCTGATGGTTTCACTTCGTGTTGATCTTCAGGGCTGTCTGACACTTTCCCTTCGGTCCATGTCCTCAAGCAGCATTCAAGCAGCATCCGTGTCTTCGGTCGTGCCCCGGCCTAGGAACACCTGTTTGGCTTTCGCATCGCGCCCGGGAAGCGAATGGAGCAAAGGGATGGGCCAAAAGGTCTACGGTCACGCATCCCTGGATGGCTGACTTGGCACGCCGAACACCCAAATCACCTACAGCGGTTTTCAGAGTAATTAGATTGCAAATTTCCAAGCTGTAGGTGCTTTATATGGACCCCCGGTATAAGAAGGCATCTTGGCGTGCCAGTGCCATCTACTCTGAAGCGATTGTAGTTTGATGCTTCATAAGCTTGGGGATGCTGATTGATCTAAAGAACCAGCTCCAACCACCATGAAGTCCCCCCAGCAATGTAGTCGCACATTTGATGAGATCTCTCATGTTTGTCTGAAACTACATTGCCATACCCTTCTAAGAAGGTACTTGGATACACTGTTATGCATAGGTACCAGGAAGGTCCTGTTGTACCGAACCTGAGGGACATTATGGGACATTGAGAGTGGGGCCACCGTCTACCCCGATGGACAACCCACAGTTGAATGGAGGGGCCGTGGGAGTCGCCCCATCGAACCAATGCCCGATGGTAGCAGTCTGGTCGCTTGGGGAGCCTTGCCAGATCCTGGATAGTAGGTTATGTAGGTTTCTAGGACGCTATGCTCGGTGGAGGCCATTGCAAGTAGGTTGGAAAAATCGCTACTAGGAACAAGAAGCTACTAGTAGCTCCTGGCCTTACTAATAGGAGCGAGGACGCTACTAGGGGCTCCTGGCATCGCCACTAGGAACAAGAAGCTCCTTGCTATATAGTAGGTTGCAAACGGACCTTCCGACCGGACAGGTGGCTCTAGAACTCCAACCGGTGATTGCTGGACTTGTCTCCAGGAAACACCCGTTGGAGGGTCCAGGTAGTGGACACATGCCAGGTGCCTAGTGCTGAGAGGAAGGTGAGCACCGCGCATGAACTAGTATATTGCTTTCACGATGCTTCACTTGGTCAGCATCTGGCTTCCAGGCTTTCGCAAAGGAGGTAAATGCTTTTTCACTGTAATTAGTCCAGTCTGAGGCGCGCACAGTTGTATGCAAAGTCTGCATGACTTGTCAACGTCCAACATATGTGGCACACAGTTGGCAGCGTGTACCAGCCGAGTCGGACGGCGATTCGGACCGCGAACGGGATCGCGGTCGGCGTTTCATGCGGGATCGCTTCGGTCGCTCCAGCAGCTGCCGCCCATCCACGCTCAGCGCCCAAGTGCTCTCGCCGAAGCGAAGGCTGATGAGAGCGAGTTGCTGGACCTGGTCCAGGACGTGGTGCGACGAGTACATGGATTTGTTCGCCCCTTGTTCAGAAATCATAATTAGCGCCAAGCAGACTCCGAAGCCCTTCATGATGCTAATGATACTAATCGGCGTCCATTACATCACTCGCATCACCGGACCCCATGTTCACTGCTTTTCTGACCCTCGCTTTGGAGCGCTCTCCCCCACCAAGCTCCGGGTTCGCCTTCTCAAATTGAAATTGTGCCTTTTCGCGACCTCCCCCCCCCCCACACCCCCTTAACTCACTTCGTTCGCTCTAAAAGCTCAAGCCTAGCCTGTCGGCTGGCTTTTGCACCCCCCCCCACCCCCTTAACTCACTTCGTTCGCTCTAAAAGCTCAAGCCTAGCCTATCGGCTGGCTTTCGTAATTGAAAGGGCCCTGGTCTAAATGAATTCACCCCTGAATATGAAAGCGCCGTGTAGTTACAACACCCCATAAGGATCCACATATGGAGCTCCACTCAACCAGTCATACTTTGGGCCCCTGTCGATCTGCAACCTTCCCAGAACATATTCATCGTTTAAATAAATGTTCGAGCTTGTGTCTTTGCGACCTACCCCCCAAGGGAGACCCATTCTTCAGGATCATTGGATCCTTCTCGGTTACAAAAAGCTTTTCCACTTTGGGGTTCCATGTTCATCTTCAGGGTTCCACAGTGAGAACCCTCTATGCTCTCGTAAGTTTCAGACTTGTCCATCAAAAGTTTACTGCCAGGATCTTCCAAGAAGTGCCGATAAATAGCCTCTTACCATTGATTAGAAGGTCCCCGTGTGTCCTTAGCTTGTTGAGGTCGCATCGAGGGAAGCAACGAGACCTTGCCCCATGCTGGCGCCACTCAAATCTCTGGCGCCTGGACCCCCGCTCTGGTGGAAGGATCCGGCTCTGCACCGGCTCCGCACCTCACTCCACGACATCCGCCACTCCTTCCGACCCTCTGGGATGCCCAGCTTGCAAGGGCGGCTCCTCAGCCGGACACTCAGGAAAGGAGTCTGTGCTATTCCCAGCGCAAATCCCCAACACTGTGTGCATGGCATGTTTGACGAACTTGGAACAGCTGAAGGCCCCAGTGTATACGTTGCACAGTACAAATTTATAGCTTTATGAAATCCTGAGTGTCTCAAAACCGTCACCTACCTTGAGATAAAGCTTCTTGTTACGTTCGTAGCGATGGCCATCGAGCATAGCGTCCTGGTTACTAGTCAGCCGTGCCATGGCCCCATGGGATGAAGACACATGTAAATGTACCTGGATCGAGGGTAGATGGCAAAACCCCTGGATCGAGGGTATGGTTTTATAATATGAGGTAACATAATCCATGCATGTTTTGTATGGACCTCCATCTATCAAGGTCATCTTGGCGTGCCAGTGCCATCTACCCTGAAACATTCTGAAACCACTACACATCGGGGTGGTTGAAAAGGGGTCAATTTGGTCAATATGGCAGTCCCACTCGGACCATCTGGGAAAGGGAAGTGTGCCGAGTCTCACTTTGCTTCTGCTCTTCCAGCACATCCTTCAGACCTTTCCAGTACAGCTCCGTGGTGGAAACGCGAGGCGAAAGCGCAGCGATGTCATTGGATGTCATTGGCTGTTTTCTCGGTGGGGGTGGGGTGATTTGCACCATGGACATGAAGAAAAGGACCGAAATCCGAAAGGTATACAGCTCCCAGATTTATATAAGTTTTTTAGGGTCGCATCCAGTACATGCAGCATGTCTCCGTGGGAGATTGGGTTGTCATTGAAGGTAATAGTAAGGGACATGTCCAAAAAAGAGCGCGCACGACCATATGTAAAGCTTCCCCTTCCGGAGACGGGGGCCTTTCAAGGGATTCAAGAACCGTTAAAAAAGATAACGGACCGGCCCTTTCTTGAGAACCCAGATTGTGTGACATCTCACTTTAATGGCTCCAAGAAGCCAGGTCTACCCTCCTTTAAGTAGAAAACATCAATATGTTGAGAAAACACAGAGCCTTCCACACTTCCTCAAGAAAGGTCTTTTTGGTGCAAAATATAGTAGTACACTTAAGTATCAGTACTACTAGGCAGCTTGCTGCGACTCCATCTCAGAAACCAGCAAGCTTGCGCGAGCTTCTATCACTCGCTGCTGCTGCGCAAAAACATGTAGATAGACGGGTGGCGGGTGATCCCTTCCGAGGGGCGAAACATTCATGTCATTGTTAATGCCATAAGATAGAATAGTTAATAATGGTCACCAGCCAAAACAAATAAACCACCATTAATAAACTTGGTCCCATCCGTCTCGTTTGACTCCGAATCACTGTCGTCATGGTCTGAGTGTCCGGTCTTGAGACTGGCTGTGTTTTGAGAGACGTCTGTCTGTGTGAAAACCTGCTTCACTTTGGTCCTTTTCCCAATCTGATGTGCACCCACCTATGCTGGGCCAACTAAAACCAACCGTCTACCATCGCCGACGGCACGCCTGTCCAATCGTCGTCCCATCGCTGAGGTTCGCCCAGGCGCTCTCTTTCGTGGCGGCGGTGCGGAGGCCCAAATGCCCCTCTTTCGACACGTAAAGGGCAGGAAAACGATCCTCAGCAGAAATAAGTGCATCGCTACTAGGAACCCAGTGCATTGCTATATTAATTAGTAGTAACAAGTGGCTTTCGTGTCAACTTATCAGGAGAGTCCAGTGACGACCCCCAAAAGACGACAGAACTACAAAGACACTGTCATGTAGAGGACTTCAGTCTTCTTCATTGCGGTCTATGTTCGCTTGGTCAATGGCGACAACACCAAAAGAGGCCAAAAACAACAAGCAGGACTTATGTCCAACCTGTAGCATGGTATCTGTCCATCTTTTGCAGGACATTACAGTACGGACATTACGATCACAATGCCTAGTTGAAACAAACATGCACACACGTCCCTTTGTCCTTTCCAAAATGGGCAAGGTTTACAATGCATTTGTCGTGTCGCCGAATCATAGGGGCCCCTCCTAAACCACCGGCAGCTTAAAGAATGTAAATAACCATTGCATCACACAATCACATAAACTCACCAGCCGTGCCTCCGAAACAATGGTATTTGCACCGGAGTCCCACCTTCGACGAAGGTACGGCTGGAGCCCAAACTGTCAAATCAGTCACGCCGGTCATCCCGACTGGCAAAAATAGAAAAAAACCAAGCCGAAGCCTTGAAACCCACAGACCGCGGACCCAGCTGCATCCTCGGAGGAGAAAAGCACACTCCATCCTTCCAGCCTCTCGTGGATCGTTAGACCTGGACTTCGAAACAGGAGGTCGTGGAGAAAAAACACCCGGCGTCGGCCGAGTGCCATGGTGGTTGGGTGCATTTCTAGTACGATGGAGTGGGGGGGGCCGTGGATGCAGGGCGCATCCGAGACGGGCGCTGGACGCATCCGATCTGGGCTTCGCCCTGGAACAGCCATGGTTTCATGAGGGGGCTCAGGTCCTGTAGGATTTCTTCCTGCACTTCCGAACGAGTGGGAGGTCATCCTCTCTAACATTTAGGTATGCAGCACGTACCTGGTGCCCCATTCTTGGGGCTCTCTGCTTGAATGATCCATTTGGGCCCAGCAGCTAAAAGAGATGATGCACTCTTCGGCCAACACCTGGTCCGCCGATGCTTGCGGCGGCGGCGCCGATGCGGACCAGCGAATTCGTGTTCGTGTTCGGAGGGGAAAAAGGAGGGAACAAAAGGTTTCGCTACGAGTTCGGTGTCCTTCGGTTTGGAAAACATCTACATGATGATTGAGGCCGTTTTTTTTTTGTGCGTCCAGGTAGGCCAAAAACTCGTGCCTCCTCTAGGCGATGATGGGACCCTGGCCTATGGCACCAACTCCAAAAACACACCAACTCAGAAGATAGCTGGAGCCCTACAAATCCAAGGGTCCAGTTCTCGAATGCCTTGGATCTTCGACTTGGATCAGTGGATCACTGCCAAGCCTACCGCATGCCGTCTGCCTACCGGCCTACCGTCCGCTCCCAATTCTGCTGCCAGCCCCACGGAACTATATAAGCATTCCCAGGGCTTGAGTGGCCCATTTGAGACACATACTCACATACTCTTCATTGATGGAACCCGTGCCGGGTGAAAATCAACATTGACTGACCCGCTAGTTTCCCTGCCTATACTTCTGTTGGTGAATGATAAGTGGGCAAACCAATCCCCCCAAAAGGTTTTGCGGTTTATCACTTTTCCTGGGTAGGTGGATGTAGGTATACCTCATAAGGACTCAAATGAAAACAACTCTTTGCCACCATAGGCCACTGGGAAAGACTAACCTCATGAGATGCTGCAAGGTCTCCGATCCGATCCGCACTCCAGTTTTCATCCACGACTGGACGTGGAGAACTCAGCAGCTCAGCTCTCTGTTCTTCCGGGGGTCGGTTTTTTCCACTTCCCATGTTAAAGCTTGTTACCGCACCGGACCAGTGCAATATGGATCTCCAATACGTCTTCGAAGATTCAGGGATTGGGTCACGTCTCCACCACCACTTCGGTTTCGGGCCTGCTTCGCCAATATACGTCCCGGCAGGAGACGCTGCAGCCCCTGCGACATGCCACGCAACATGGTGTTTCACCCTGCGAAACCCGATCATCGAGGCACCGGGTTACGACTGTGGCGACCATATGGCAGGCGAACGGCGACCGGTGGTGCGGCGTGACAGCGCCACCGGGCGCGGAAGACGTGGTCGGACACAGTGAAACCGCCAGCATGAAGCCTGGCTGCCACCTGGGCCGGGTAAGTGCACCACTCTGGGACCACACGAAAACCGCTCTAAAAGCAAACAACGAGACAATCGAAACCGAAAGATACATGGGTGATGTGTGCTCGGATTGTCCCATCATCCATACTCTATCATAATCTATCTGAGGATGTGTCATAGAAGTGTTCAGGGCGCCCGAAGCCCCAAAAGCTGCAAACGGCTCGGCTCACCTCTATACGCTCCCTGGAACTACCTTCTCCACCTTGCCAACTAAGACAAGATTTCCTATCTGCCCCAAAAGCCCCCAACCGCTTTGGTCGAAACTGGAAACATGTTAAAACAAAACTGATGTCCACGGATAAAAAAAACAAACAATCTTCCAGGTGGCACACCTCCTTACACCTTGGGCTAAAAAGATCTAAATAAAGGATCTCACCAGCCCACAAGCACCAGAGTTAGAAAGGACACATCGATATCGATGCAACCCAACCTGGATTCACTCGTGTACCACGACCCCCGATTGCAGTGTCAATTCAATTCCAAGCCCCTCAATAAGAGGTTCAATGAGGTGACTGGGGATGTCCATGAAGCAACCCCGACAGGTGCTTGAACAGTCTGGTTACCTGGTAGGCCTTGACCCTCTTCCTCTCAATCCGCCTGTAGCCAGGTGCTCTCTGACCACCTTCTCGAAGCATCGACGATCATCCTGGAGGTGTCACCCGGAAGAGGCTTGGACCTCGATCTATGGCGTGGTCACCAAAGAGTTTGGAGAATATGTTGGCTGGATCTACCAAACAAAACTGGATGCATGATGTCGTATTCAGCCCAGTGCGCGAAGGGAAAGGAGACCATGTTAAGTTGAATTGCACAGCCATCCCAAAAAGAAAGGACCCGCAGCAAATGTGAAGTCCGCGGATGGTTTGATGCCCGGGACTTCATCAAAAATCAGTGGGCCGGGTATCACTTTCCATGAAAATGTCTTAGAGTTGGTCGCATGGGCTTGCTTCCATGCTTTGGTCATGTTGGGGACCACGCGGCCATTGCTTTCTCCGGCTGCCAATGGAGTTAGGCAGGGCAGGATGAGAATCTTCTGAGCCAACTTCTCTTCTTGCCTTCCCAAAAGGCAGAACTCGAAGTGCCGGGGGCTCGTCATTGGATCAACCGCATCGTTTGACAGTCCGAAACCACCACATTTGGATACATTTGGGATGATAGACCCATGGCAATTACAGTGCATGCTTGCAAGTAATGTAGACTCTTGATGAATAAACACCCCATTAAGATGTTTTTCAATGGCATTTGGTTATTAATCAAGAGTCTACATTACCATTTTCTCTGGGCCTGTCCCCTGAACCGCCGAAGCATCGCTCCCACCGTCCTCAAATCAATCCCATCGAAGTCCGTGGCTGGGCGTTGGCGCAGGACTCGCAGGGGTCCTCCCGACACTGACAAGGAAGACCCGAAATGGGACCTGAAGTCGAGCGAATCCCTCACAAACCCTCCGGTCTGACCCCTTCCATCACCTGCCATCGGACCCGCTCGTGCGCCACGCGCGCCTGCCACGCCCTCCGCGGCGACCAGCCCGTCCGTGGTGGTGCTGGTCCGCACCGGAGCGGAAAGCCAAAGCAATCGGCAAAGGGACTTCGTGGAGAGCGCCGAGCCCTTGGGGTGAAAAGGACAGGGAAAAACCGGTGCCGCGCTTGGAGGTCATGTGGTGCAACAAAAAGGCCGAAGGATGAGATACCCGACGTGAAATCGATGTGCTACAAGATCTACAAGTAAGACCTTCAGATGACCTGATGACCTGAAAAGCTGGAAACTGTCTCAGACATTCTACCCGCCATCCTCGCCTGCGTCACGAGCCTTTTCGCCACCTGCGCGACGAGCTCCACCGACATTGGCAGCCCGAGGAGTCGGAGGCCTCCGAACAGGCTGGATGATCTCCTGAGTCCAGTGAACTAGTACCCTGTACCTCGTGGAAGTGGATGCCGGGCCCCTGGAGGTCTACCATGAAATCCGTTTCAACCAAGGCCGCCAAGGCCGGGGAGTGTTCACTCCCCATGTGATGCAGCGTTGCTCGTTCCAAAAAGGCTCTCTCAAAAATCTGATGCGATGTGTGGAACTTCGGTGGTGCCCAAAAGAGTTTGAGGGACTGCCAGGCTTCTTGCCCAACAATCCACAAAGCCTCAAGGTCAAACCTTTCAACGAGCTGGAAATAGACCACGTCACATGATTCCATGTGGACCCTTCAACAATCTAGCTTGCAATCTGCAATGCTATAAATACATCTCAACATGGTGGGGTCGCAAAATCTGGGGTACATGCCCAAGGAGGAATTAACTCCTGCGCGCTCCGCGCACTGATGCTTCTGCAGGCCGGAATGATGTCCCCACTTCCCCAGCCTTCTAAAGACATCAGGGCCAACTCCAATGCGGGCAAGTCCTGCACTGCGTGGTCTTTCGCGGGTTTGGCATTCAGTATCACTTGGTCCTTATTTTGAGCAACTAAAGCATCATCAAGCCGCTCGATCGAAGCATGCATGGCAGATCTTAGGCCAAAAAAAAAGAACAAGAAACAGAAACAGCTTCCATTTGTGCCAAGGGATCACAGTTCTATCCTCTTTTTATGCATTGTATGGGGTCTTTGGACTTCGACCTTCTATGTCCGAAACAATGGCTGAGCTTCACATCCGAGCTACTTAGACGTCCTCTCCTGGCATCACTACTAGGAGCATTCTTACTACTATACTATAGGAACAACAAGCTACGTGGGGCTCCTGGCCCTCCGCCCTCCACCCCGACGGCCCGTCCCGTCCCCTCCTGGGCGAGCTTCACCTCGGCCACCTGCCACTCTGCCAGCTCAAGCACTGCGGCGTCCTGCCAGACGTCTGCACAGCACCCGGTGCAACGTACGGTTTTTGTCTTTTTTCTTCAGGAGAGGTGTAGGGTCAGCTTGACAAATTTGTTTAAAGAATGCAGTTGTGGAATAATATGTTATATATATATAGTAAATGGCAAGAAGAACAACGTATGCGCATCTGAGTGAGACTTGACACAAAGGAAGCTACCTGGACAGTTACACTACACAAGTCTAAGTTCTTTCACCGACCTGCTACCTAAGCCTTTCTCCGCGTGTCGTGGACATCCTACTGCGTCAAGCTTGAGGTTGCTTGAAGCCTTCTTGAAGCTGACAAACTTTGTGTCTTATCATGCATGATTGGCAGTAACAACTGCCGTGAGCTCTAACATGCTCTGACCCTCTGTCCATCCTAATAATTACGTAAGAGATTCTCCCAAGTGCAAACCACAGCTCAACAAGCAATTCTGCAGCCACTGGCCGGGCCACCTCTAGACAAAAAAAGAAAGCAATCCCAAAGGCCTTTCAAACCCTATGACCAGGAGAGGCAAACAACCCCACACAACAAAACGTCAAATTAGGGTTCAGCAGCATGTATCCATTTGTAAAACCACTCCATTTGGATTGTAAACTTCAAACAGGGGGCACCATTGTCAACAGTCTACAGTCGACATGAGCTTTGGCTCCTTTTGATGAGTCACGAGCTTCGGATTGCTCCCACCCAAGCCACAGAGCGCCCTCCGTCTGCGTCCTTGGCCCAGGCCTGTCTGGTCTTTGCCGTGGAGCGCACAGCGATGCGCAGCAAACACAGGGCACCCCATGCAGGGTGCCAGTGACCTGCCCACATCGTGCGGCCCACATCATTCTACCTACCGTGCGATCTGCTATTCATCCGGCCAATCACACCCCGCGATTCTGCTATTCATTTGAGAAATGATGCTACAAATGGTTGCGTTGCGCAGTTGTGCGTCTCCACTTCATCCCGCGGACCGACACATCCCCGAAACGGAGACGCGATGGGTGCACGGTTGACTTCAAAACAGATCAAAAGGGTTTACCATCAAAATGGGGAGGCTTAATTCATCAACAGTCTACATTACACCCCTCAATCTGCCTTTTACGGGTGTCTCTCTAATCACGCTGGTGCAAACAAATTTCAGGATAATCTATTTGACGATAGTTGACCTTTTTATTTGACTGTGGGTGTGAACCATCCAAGTAGCAAATCCCAAGACTTCCCAGGGGATGCCTTAAGTAGGCAAAACATGGGCATGTTGTACAAGCCAAGAACCACCTTTCTTGACACCTTCGACCACTGGGCCTCGATGTCGCCGGAGCAACTCCACTGCTTCCGCTGCGCTGCTGCTGCTCCGGAGGGCGTGGCAAATCTCCTGCTCTGCGAAACAGCATGCCCAAACACTCCATTATATATATGGAAAGTTGCATATATTGGGTCTATTCCATTAGCAGTAATCGTGGATGATGATGGTTAGTAAAGACCTTTCTCAAAAATAGTAATAATCGTCTACTGACTGTTACAGGCAATAGGACAAACAAACCCAATATATATATATATAATTTATACAGTATTTATGACTCTGACTATTCCCATCCCATTATTTATGACCAAAAGACCCCAATATATGTACAGTAACTATTCAACTATTCCATACGTGAATGATCTGGGAAGGGTCTATGACACCATTTCCCTGACACTCCATGGACTGGCATGTTGGCCTATCAACTGAGGTTGCTATTTCGGGGTGAAGGTAAGCATATGTTCTGGTCCCATGAAGTGCCTAGGATAAACATTATATTATTGAAAGATGCTATAATATTTGCATTGTATGTGTATATCTATATATGCTATACAGTAAACTAAATATTCACAATATTGTAATTGCACAGTATGAACCATGTACCCTAGCCAGGCCCTAGCCTTCCAAGACAATTATGTAATGTAGTGTGGGGACCTGCAACTCCTCAAATATCTGGGACAAACCAAAGGGCAGCTCCATGCCCAGTGGAGCTGGGCCCAGGTCTACACCGCTCTAGTCAAGACACTGATGACCTGAGCTGTTTTCCCTGACTCCAGCCGTTTTCTGGAAATAACAATTTGAACTCATATAATCCTTTTTTCCACCTGTTTAAAGTTGAGTAGGGCAACCAATCCCCCAAAAAGATTTTGCAGCTTGTCCATCCTAGGGGGGCTCTTGTAACTGCATGAAAGACTTGAAACATGTTGAAGCCAATGGTGGGAGCCTGGCCCATGCCTCTCCCCAAAAAGCATTCTCTGCAATCGATCCTAGACATCTCGAAAACAAAGACCTTGGCCAGGGTTAAACGTAATTTTATAAAGGCAATCCTTGGAAATACCCGGACCTGAACCACAGTTCCGAAGCTGAAGCAGAAATGCGTCCTCCACATGTTCGAGAGACGGCCGCCTGTGCCCAGCACACATGGCAACGTAGGAGGAGATTTGGAAATATTCTTACAGTGGTTTCAGAGTAGATGGTACAATCCCCAAAAGGTGGTTTATATGGACCCCCATCTAAAAGACATGTATATAGGGGTGCGTGCCATCTACTCTGAAACCACTGTATTTCACACCACTCACTACATGGCGTTTCAGGGACTCCTCTTGGAGAACCTAAGGGCTGGCCAGGCACAGGTGCTGACGTGGACATAACAGAAACGCGTGCAGACGTGGCAGCACCCGCTTCATTAATGCATTTTGTCTCAATCCTTTTTGGTTGCAAAAGGGCTTGTTGGACACTTCTGATGTGTCTACCAATGGGTTATAATGATACTGGACGGTCGGCTTTCAATCAGCCAGGCTGGATCTCTCCAAAGCCAGCCGCCCAAAGGTGCCTGGATCTCCAAGCGCCATGCGCTTGGATCTCCAGGCGCAGCTGAGGCTTTTGGCACTCTGCCAGGATCCTGGTGGAGGTCGTCCAGTGATGGATCGAATCTCGCACCCAAGAAATCATGGATGGACAGCTGACAGCTGGGTGGTGGTTTCAACTGACTTGAACAATTAGTTGGTGGAGATAATCATCTGAAGTAACAGTTGAAAATACACATATATATCTGAAACCACCATTGAAACAGCTGAATTATCTACAGTAATTAGTGTCGTCTTGATGCTTTGCGCTCAAAAAGGGTGCAGCACCACCTTCCACCATGTTCCACAAAAGTGCTGAGGTTTGCTTCCTGGTGGTGTGTTCTTGGCTTTTGTTGGCCCCTTCTCAGGTGCAGAGGTGAGTTTAAGCAATCGATATCCAATCTTCTCTGTTTTGTGGGTATGAGGCCATCCTGTGGTGAAGATGTCGCTTCATGGTGGGAAAAAAACTCCTACACAAATCATGACCTAAGGCTCTTTCATGCAGGATACGACCTCAAAAAATGTCGTATACGAAGATCTGCTGGGTCAATATGCTCGCAGTGTAATGTATAACACCTGAGTATTCAATAGCTGAAGCGAACCATCAGTGTCCAGACCCATTGAAGGTCTCAGTTCTCCGGTGATTAACATATGCGCTCACCGAAAACGAACTTCAGCCTAGCCTATCATATAGCTGGCTCTCCTAAAAAAGACCAACAAACGTCCTTACATATCCTTACCTATACATCGATTCATGAATTACATGTTTCCACCTAACTCTTCGACTTCCTACCCCACCAGTAACCCTTGGATCTGCTGGATCCGACCTGGTGGCATCTCCGCGGCAGCCGTTGGCCGCCAGGATCCGATCGCCCGGCTGGATCAAGCGCCTGGGGCGAGGTGAACACACCGTCCGGTAGACTGGGGATCTACTGTAGACTGATTCTCGTGGTTCCCGGATATGAAGTCAACGAGGTCCGGACCCTCCAAAAGACCATGGACATGGGATTGTCTGGGGAGGTCTATTGATCAGTCCACATGAGGCGGGTGGGTTTTCCCGAACAAAACGAAGGTCTCACATGACTGGACCCTCCACATCCCTCCACCTGGGCCGAGCCGAACGCAAACGAATGGGTGGGATCCAACTGGGCGACCGTCGACGGGCTCCAGACTGGGCGACTCCCAAGACAAGTTGGTTTTCTAGTTGGCTCTTGTAAAATTAAAGGACAATCGTCCAATATAGGAGGCTGATTCCAAGAACAAGGTACCACAGTTGCATGGTTTTTCTCAGATCAATTCATCGCTTCGTCATGGGTGCCTTAGCTTGGGACCATTAAGGAACATGTATTGGAGCGTATTGGGCAGCTGTCCCTCCAAGTTTTTGCTCTCAGATTGTTCACATCGGTTTGCTTCGGAGGAGTGTTGTGGTCCAGATCTGCGCCTCTTTGAGGGAACAAACAGTCCCTGCCATCTACCAAACAAGTGCTTGCTGGGATTCATACGAGTGTCTTCCCGTGTCTCCCTGGGCAACCAAGCGTTTGCCCGTTCAACACCCAAAATGTGTGTGTGAGAGAGAGCTAACCATAGACATAGACGATCTACTGTATATGCTGAGGTGATTTGGATATCGCGAATCGCCTCCCGGCCCCGTTGATCCTTAGGTCGTTGTAGCGATCACATTCCCATCTTGAAATGAACGCCAGGGGCAGCCTCTGCTGTTGACACCAAGCATGAATGGCGCCATCATCCTTGACCTCATCACTATACTGTCCAAATCTTTGACTGCACCATGTGGCCAAAGACATGAACCCGAAACAACAATATATGATAATATGATATGCAATGCTAGTTTTGAACGCCTGTGTGCAGCATGCATCGCTGCCAAAGCAAGGTCTGATTTCATGTCAATGATTGCCCTCGGATTTCTGTTCCTAAATGATTCTTGTTGAGTCATACGCACACCCAGGTCCACTGGAAAATGACATCTTCCTTGACTGGAACTGAATCGCATCTGCATGTGTCCGGCCTCGGAACCAGGCTGTGCCCCTCCAACCCCAGCCACTTGTCTTGAGGGCTGTTCCTGGCTACTGGATATGCACTACCAAACTCTTAACAGTGCCACCAAAAATCCGGCAGTTCCAAAGGTTTATACTCCCATCCGAGTGGTGTGACAGGGGTAACCTCTCCTTCTCCCGTTCCTTTGTCACCTTCCATGGAACTGCTGGAGCATGCTGTAAGCGTCGATGCCCCAAACATGCGAGCCTTATTCGCGAACTCGCGAACCGAATAGACTCCGTTCGGGTCAAGTGTGCGTTCGGAGCGCCCCGTTCGTAGCGCTTCTCTCTCATCACATTCAAATCCCCTACATGGTCGCGGAGCCTCCGCGCCCACACCTGCGACCGTCCACCGCCCAGCGCGACAAACCGAGCGACGCGTTTGATCAGCAGCGTCACACCATCCCAACCAGCCGACTGGCGGCCCGTCTCCACGTCAATGCCCAATGAGGTGCCAGAACGGTTGAGGTCAAGGAATAAGACTTCCTCAAAGCAACAAACCCAAAGCAACCCGTGTACCAGCAACCCGACTGGAAAAAAGGTATCCTAGTAAGGGTGCTGGTATGGAATAGTTACATACGTTTATCGCCATTGATGACTTTAATGTATGGAACTATTCCAGGATGTCAATCAGTCTTTCAAGTCAAGGTCTGGGTGTCTTGGTTGATCAAGTGATAATCATGAATCATGAGGTGACTGATGTGCCGCTCTCCGGTGAACAATCTGCAGGTTGAGCAAATCACCAAAACGCCACAACACCATGGCCACACTTCAATTCATCTGCGGGTGTTAAGGCTTTACCCTTTTGTTCCAGGAAATGCCCTCGGCCCAGCTGCGTCATTGACCTTCATCCAGTGGTTTAACAAGTGGCTTCAAAGTCGGGCTAGAGATTGCCATGCTCATCCATCTTTTTGCATCAATGCTCTGCCTCTTTGTGGCCGAGGCTCAGCCATAGTGATCCAAGCCACACAGGCCACGCCATGCGCGTCTTACTCAGGCGCTTCTCATGGGTGTGACGCGGTTTTCGCTCTCACAAAGATCAGCAGAATCTGTAGTGAGGCTCTAGCACCTGTCTACTTCAGGTTGGCTTTGATTCTTTGGCTGATGATGTTGAAACTCTTAGTTTATTATAGTATAAGTCAATTAAAACCAAGCAATTGGTGACAAATGGAAAATGATGGACTATGGAATCCAAAACCCAACAAATTCACCCGTCAACTACCCTTCAACTTTGGAGGGGGAAGAAGGTGCGCCATCGATCCAGCTGTAGAAAAGGATCTTGGTCAAATGGGTCTGGGACTGTCTTTCCTTGGGAGGGAGTACCTGCTGCGTACGATTCATACGCGGTGTCTGGTGTCGCATCTGCTGCTACAAATGCTGTTGTGACGCACTATAGCTGGCTCACATGGAGGCCCCCTAGAAAATGGAAGGTGAGTCCATATCTTTCTCGTATGTATATACAAAAGTATCAGTCTTCAAAAGTAACATATTATATACTCACCAGGTGCTTCCAACGGGTCACCAATGGACAACCCTACCCTATAGGTCTCCAGACAGGGCACCCATTGGAAGTAGGCAGCTCTTGTAGTAAACTACCTGGTGTTTTTTCGACCGATGGATTGAGCCCATGTCCGGCTCTGTGGGTTTTGTGCCGAGATGCCAGGTCGGGCGTCCCGGGCGTTCGGCCGAAGGCATGCCATGTGTTCCGTGGTGTGACATAACGGAAGGCGGTTCGTGGAAGCTGAGCAGCATGTTGTTGTTGTTGTTGTTGTTGTGCTGTTGATCATTTTGCTCATCCACTGCACGTTCCATGTCGCTCCCCTGTCCTGGGGGGGGGCTACTGAGGCGCGCCTCAGGAGGTTCGGGGTGTCCCTATACTAAGCCCCAGTTAGCCAACCGATTCAACTCACCATCACCCTGTCACCCCTGAACCCTGCTTGCGGCATCCGTTTTGGGTCCTATGATTCCCTATGCCGCAGGGCCACCCGTTTTGGGCGAGGCGCCGCATGACTCCGTTCGCTCCGCCTCCACAGGTGCGACTCCGTTCCCTCCGCATGATTGCGCTCCGATGGTCCGAACTGGATGAAATGGAAACCAATGAAATGTACCCTCCACGCGAACCATCTGGGACTGCCATAGGACTGCCGAGAAACGGCCAGGGGTGGTGCCAGGGGGGTCAATGTAGGCATATATGCCATACATGGAGTGTATGGGATATATGATATGTGCGTGTATATATATATATATGTGTGTGTGTGTGTGTCAAACCCTGTTCCTAAGGGCTTTTCACATCGGATTCATTTTTCAAGCAGGGGGCCAGCGGCCGACAAGCAAACGCTGGCTAACAAAGCTATGCTTGTCGGTGGATGCACAGTCTGATCAACTGTGTGTACCTGCGACCAACTTTTGCACAAGCTGTCCAATCCGCTCGGTTTGATTCATGGTGGTTGCATGTTTCCTCCCATAAACCCTTTTCCTGCAGCTGAGCTCGTCACCGCATCGAGTGTACAGATCGATTTCGAGGCCACTTGTAAACAATGTTCAACCATACTGTTTTTGCTGACTCATGCGCCTTTCCGTTCCCTCACCTTCCTTCTCGACTTGGGAACTGAGTTAACTGAAAACCAATTTCAGAGTGTGAACCGCTCAGCCGTCCCACTTGGGTGCTGGGTGTGATCCCCGTCACTGGGGCGCTGAATTCATGCTGGAAATCGTGTAACAGATTTTTCGGATCCTTCATTCCTTGGATTTTCTTAACTGATTTCTTCCCACCACTGGATCAACTGCTCTACGAGCCGCCGGGCTTATACGGATAAAACCATTTGAATACAACAGCCGCCGGGCTTGTACGGAGAATGAACCCGGACAGGGTTTCTACCCCAAACACCCCAACTCCTCCCACCCACTAATTAGGGTAACAGAGGGAAATGGTACTCGACACACTTGTGTGTCGGCGCCTTTCCCTCTGTTGTCCCTTTTCTAGTCTTCTCTACCCGGGCGGTCTAAGACTAAAGTCCCGCTCCCTAACTATTGCATGTAATTCGCTTCCGCTAAGTAATCGGTAATTCTAGAGTGCTAAGTATTCACACACACACACACACGGACACACACATGTACATACACCTCCCTGTCCCCCCCACTTGCTTTCTCGCGCTTTTGGTCGTTTCTTGGGCTTTCTCTCAGGCTTTTTAGGTTGCTCTTGAGGCTCGTTTCCCTACCCCAGTCAAGGGCTAAGTATTCACTTTTTTCTACTCCTACCTTTCTCTCTTGCCCTCTTAGCGCTGCTCTTTCTGTGTTTCTTTCTTTTGTTTCTAAGGCTTTTTAGGTCCTTCGCACGAGCGCCGCAAAGCGGCACCGTGTGTGTGTCAAACCCTGTTCCTAAGGGCTTTTCACATCGGATTCA